TTCTCTACTTTTTAGAATGTTACATACAAAGTTTCTATAATATTCAATGATAGATTCCACGAAGTCATACAAAGTTCTACACATATGAAATTTTCAATAATTTTTCCCTGAACAAAAACTAATATAATGTTGAACAAGTTAATTGAAAGTTAAATTAAAAATTAAAAACTTTAAGGAAGAGGAAAATTGAAGATTATTTTCTCATCTTTTAACTCTTGTTATTAACATGCTTAGAGTGCATCGGAAGCAACCAACTCACACAGACCATATACATATATTGTATCCAGTGATTTGCATATATTTATGCATGCGGAAATTACTTAAACGTTAGGCTTCTGCCACTGAACCTATATATACACACACCACGTGCCTAACCGTTTTAAGTTCCAGTATGGTTTTGTGGAAAATATAAAAAATACAGTAAATAATCACAAGGTACAAAAAAATCTAATATATTTAAAAATGAATAAAAATTCCATTTTGTATAACCTTTTTATACACAAATGTGTCAAATGCAAAGTAAAATTCTGACATATTTATGGTGAATTTTTGACTCTTTTTTCGCATAACATATACAATTTGAATGAAAAGAAACCTGAAAAGAAAGACGCGTCCAAGAAAAATTGGAAACCCAAGTAATTCTTTCCGTTTTATTTAGCCAACCACCCACACTCCTCCCCTACCCTTTCAAATTATGCACGAAAAGAAAGTTCAGCAGAGTGGTATTAAGGATGATAAATCACGCGAGGAGAAGAATAGAGTAAGGACGAAAATGTAATCTCTTGGACAGCGCAAGATCTCCTAATTCATTATGTAGGACGCATGTCAAAAGAGAAAGAGGAAAATACTATTGTACCTTTATCAGATTAAATTTATATACCCAAATGAGAATATCTGACTACAATTTCGCGAAAAACAAATAATGTTTGATATTTACTGAATCATCAAAAACTAATCCTCCATTTCCAGATATTCATCAATTTTTAAATTCGGGATTTAATAACAAGCTTCCGAAAAAAATTTTAGAATTAGGAAGAACCAAATTTTAGGGTTTTTGCTCTTTTGGATCAAAAGGAGCAAAAAGATTTACAACAAGAATGAACATATACCACAAAGGATCAAAAGATAATCAAAGAATTAACAAAAAAAGGATCATCATTTCTCGTCAGTTTTGATGCAACAGTACAATTTTTAAGTTTCAGAAATATTATCGACCAACCAGATGTTTAATTGTATTTATAGAGTAAATACAATGACACCAGCAGCATAAAAGGAGAATATAATGAGGATAGTTCCGATGTTACTCTAGCACCTATCTGAGGAAGTGTGACAGCTTGAGATACGATGTGGTCACGCGCGCCTCGCCGCCATCTGGATTTCAATTAGACTAATGCACCGCGAATACTATGAACGGGTCCCGTTTGCGGCTACATAATGTCCGCCCATGTATCTTATGTCTCCTCATATACATGTGTTGTACCTACACAGTCACAGAGGTTTACATTAGGAACTGTTTCCGCAGGAAACACTGTACAAGCTCTCTCACTCACTCGCTCCATTACATACATACATATATATATAGTCAACAGTCTTGCGACCATTTCGGCACACGGAGACGATGGATTTTAATTACTTGATTGCCAACACTATACCCTATTCGCCACAACCGTACATGCTTGGAATTTCAAATGCTAGCTATTCAACGAATTTCACCTCTCTAAACAAAAATAATTCAAAAGAGAAATTTTCTTCTTTTTCAAAAATTAGCTTGATTAATTCTTGTCAGCAATTTTGGTAAACAAAAAAATTTTTTTTGAAACTTTATCATAATCACTGAAAAATAATTACCAAAGATAAGTACCAGTAGAAGCATTCACTTCCATTTGTCATAGAACACGATATCCAACAATAAGTCAACAAAAAATTAAATGCCAAAGTTTTATGTCGTGACCTAATCCATAACTGCCAAGAATTTAAGATAGGAGAAAAAAAATTCCACTTTTTAGATTAGCCTCTTCGCTCTATGTAACATTTATTGTCATTTTTAAAAACCTTTGACAAAATCTAATACACAGTTTTTCTTAATGAAAAATCAATAAAATCAAAAGAAAAATTTGTTTGATAAATTTTACAAAGCAAATGTGCAGAAGCAGTCGAGTGTTCAGAAAGGTAGGTTCTTTGTTTTGATTTTTTCTCGGCCTTGATCTCGCCATCTCGCTGTGGTGCCAAGGACCGACGAAAAAAGAGAGGAAAAAAAAAAAAAAAAAATTATTGAGAAAAGGACCCCCTTTTTATAAGGTTCGTTCTTCCCGCATGTTCAGTTGGTATCGCTTCCAATCGTCGTCTTCGCTCCGATTGGAAAGTCTGCCTCGCAGTCTCCGAAACTCGAAGAGTTCGGCGCCAAAAGTGCATGAAGTCAAACGCATATGTGTACAGTCACTCAAAAAAATTCACCAGTTGCTTCAGTTACTTTTAAATAATAATAAACTCAATTTCGTTGCTAAAAAATCACTTTCGCACTTTAAAATAATATTTCTCCTTTACTAATGCAAAAACTAAAATGAAAATTACTATTATATTAAAACATAGTTTTTTTTCTACTCGAAATTATTTTTTTAAGAATCATTCCTTTGTTTCAAGTTTCCAAGCTCTCTGGCCTCTTATAAAGACCATTTATTTATTTACCTCCGCCTACTCTTGCTATATCTTTTACCTTTCTTCATTCGCAACCTTCATTCCAAGTCCCTAAACTCTTTTTTTTTGCCTTATTGTTACCATCGTCTCAGGAAAGCCTTCTACATTACACTCTCTATATAGAGAGACCCTGAATCCACATCTGTTATATATCTAAACTCGAAAGCCACTCTCTGTGTGACTCACACTATTTTCCGCCTCAGCTTCGTCGCTGCCAATGACCTACTCTTGTCTCTCTATAACAACATTCAGGAATGAACTAGGTATTCGAAAAATCTCCAAACACATCTCTTTTATCACTTCTTTTTAAAAAAAATAAATGTTAGCATTTATTTAAAACTCAATTTTTATAAATAAGCAGAAATAAAAGTTAAATTATTTCAAAATAAAGAATTAACGGATTTAGGTAAAATAAATTAAAACTCCTTAATAACTAGATGAATATCAAAAGCTTTAACAACCTTATTAACCTCGCGTCTACGTTAAAATGACGTGCCACTTTCAGATATATAGTTTAATGTACGCGAAAATTTCAAAGTTCGTAGAAAATATAAGATATCGAAGCGGTTTTAATTAAAACATTAATTTTCTCATAAATATTCATTTTCTGATTCCAAAAGAGGGGGGAACAAGATTTAAGCTACTCTTAATACTCCTAATACTAGGCTAGTCCTAATACTAAAGTACTCCTAATATTATAAACTACTCCTAATCCTAAACTACTCCTAATCCTAAACTACTCCTATTATTAGGCTAATCATAATACTAAACTACTCCTAATATCACTAATATTTCAGAATCTAAACATATCTAATTTTTACTAATTTTGCAAACAAATTTTTTGAAAAGAACATTATTCCAAGTATGCAAATTATACACGAAAAATGAATTATGTCCTCGTTAAGAAAAGAATGACTAAATCAGTAGTACGTCGAACTGAGTAAAATACGAATATTGTACTCAGTCTCAAGAGTAGAGCAATTTCCGCCAAATGGTTTCCTGCTGGCGATTCATGTGTTAATAAATAGAACCTCAACTCGGCAAGCAAAAAGAAAAAAAAAACGTAAAAAAAGAAGCAAAATAAAACAACTAGCTATAAAAAAAAATGCAACAACAAAAAATACACCAAAACCGTTAGGTTTGCGTCAGAAGATTATCGCTAATATGTATGCAACAGTAATAATGGCTTAACGAGAAAGAGCATAAAGTTTTGCGGGAACTGAAATATGGCAACAATCACAAATGTTAGTTTCTCTTTAAAGAAACAAAATTCATACAAGTAAAAATTTTACGAAACATTTTTTGACCCTAACACATTATGACCCATTCGAAATTTACATGGTAACAAGGTAGCTGCTACTATTATAGAAACACTGATATATTATTACAAGGAAAAACATTTTTTAATTTAAAATTTATTTTTTGAAATAAAAACCACTAACAATATTGTAGTTGTAATGTCAATGTCCACTATATATCTAGAGTAAATTGGCTCCCCTTTTGAATGTAACTCTCGACTACTATTGCAAGAAGTAATGTATACCTTCAGGTACAAGAACATAATTTGCGTGTAACGTGATCAAGCTACTCCTGCAATGTGTACACGCCTCACATTATTATATATATATCTTAACATTAAATCCTATATGATGATCTTTCATCTTATAGAAACAGCTAAATTTTAAATTATTTCTCAAAATTAAATTAGCCATTAAATTAGCTAATACTGTATTAGCGTAAATTTTTAGTTGCAGTAATCTTTTTTTTTCAAAAAGGTAGGGAGAAATATACTAAATAAAGCTGAATAGAAAATCAATTGAGGAAAAAAAAAACAGGGACCTCATATATAATGATAAACCCCTATGCTCACGAATTTTAGATCCTTTGTGCCAACCCCTCATCAAAATGTCTACCATATATATATTCTCGTATTTTACAGTCATTCAAAAGGTCAGAATCCTGCTGATATTGATGGATAGTTTGATAAAAAAAAAAAAAAAATTCTATTGCCAGAAATAATTGAATGCGGGTAGTCAGAGATTTCATATAAAAATTATCATTGGTTTAACTTATTCATTGAGTTAATAAAATAAATAAATTTCACTCTCCTTTTTCCCAAACGCTTTTTTGTATCATCCATAAATTCTTGTTTCCGCGGTGAAAGTTAGTTCCACTTTTCGCCGCGGCGCTAGTTATCGATATTTATGCAGTTTGAAAAATCAGGTAATTTATCCAAATTAATAAACGTTTAATTTAATTGAAAAATATTTGCTAAAGAAAAAATTAGATAAATGAAGATAGCTGACCTTCTGCTGTTTTCTTTGAGGTCATAAATGCCGCAGGTGGTCGTCGCCATCCTCGCCAGTTGTTGCATATGGATTCAGGCTCACTGCTCCAACTACATAGTGAATCTTCCTCGAAGCGATCGGAATCCTCGAATGAGAAACGATCAGTCTCTTCCCAATCGAGAATCGCGCCCGGAGCACCTTGGGCGCCATTACCGGCTCCAGCTCCGGCATTTGCCGCTGCGGATGCGGCCCTTCCCGTACCACCACCTCCTCCGCCACTACCACCCACCACCACGGGGGACCGAGCCAGGTTGTCCGCCAGTTTTAATCGTCGTACGGTGTAGCACGCACGACACGACTGGTGCTACTTCTCCACCTCCACTTTCTTCTTCTTCTCTTCCACTAACGAAATCAACACCACCGCCGCCACCTCCAAACAATCGTCTCTTCAAAGGACCTATCCTTTAGCAAAAAAAAAAACAAACAAATTTATTAATTTCTCCTTTTTTGTTCATATTGATTGAGATTCAAGAGAGAAAGAGTCAGTTATAAAATTCGAATGTTTCTATTTATAAAATTGTATCGATTATATATATACCTGGTTTTAATGATTCAACTCAGCGAATATCTGATGAATAGTGTAACTATACCGATGAGTCAGTGTAACTCTGCAAAACTATTACAGACAGTTTATTGACTCATCATAGCATTTACACAAATTAACTGAATCATTTTACAAAATTCTCTCCTATAATACAATGTTTCAATCACTGTTTGCTTTTTAATTGATTTATTTTCAATTGATATTTTCATAGATATTTTCAAATATGATCACAAAATCATTAAAAAAAAATTCTTTTAATTCAAAAGAAATGAAATAAAAACAGTAAATCAAATGCACAACGGTCTCTCTAATGAACCAATAAACATTATATAGGAGATTTCGAAATTGATTATTTTAGAACTATTTCACTTTATGTTCAACTACCTACGGAAGTTAAAGTACAATTGCCAGTAACACACAAGAGCTCAACAATAATCGTGTCGGGTAAAATGATCATGCATTGTAGCTCGCGGACTCTCGATAATTGCAATTTCAAAGTGTTTAATCGTAACGGCGCTAATTCGCTATGGGCAACTATTCACAACTATCATCGTAGCACTACCGTGAACCAGTTTATGCAACTTAGTTGAGACGATGTTGCGTAAATTACTATTCACGCCCATTAAAATCCGTGTAACTTTTACTACTTCACTAAACTTACACCTATATATATATACAAAGAGCTGAATAGTAAATGTTGGACAAATTATATTTTCACAAACATTATAAACATTCTCTCAGAAATTACTTTAAATCTACACAATGTATATGTATAAAAGTTATTATTGTAAATGATGATCTTTCTTATACGATTCTAAAATAGGCGATTATGCATTTGTTTAAAATGAATATTTTTCTCCGTGAATGAAACTCCCGTTATTTTTAATTAAAAAATTTTAAATCAAAATCTTCAAATCTGTTTCCTTTCTTTACAATCTCAAAGTTTGTTATTATGAAAAAGGGAAAATTATTGCAACATATATACTTTCACTAGTTTAATTTCTAATTTTACGTTTTTTAATTATAAATGCAGATTATTTAAGTATTGCAAAGCATTTTATATATTGTTGCAATAAAACAATAACAGCAAATCAAATTATATATTAATATAAAAATTCAGTAGTATATACTCCAAAACATCTCCATTTTACTGCCATTTTTAATTTTCTCTAAACGTGCTGCAATAACTGGATTTATCTATATTATTTTCCTTTGGAAGATTTTTCTTTTATCTTCTGTTAGTTAACAACAAAGATAAAAATAAACACATTTCTAGATTTTACATTCAAAATGCTTATTTTCAAACACATTATGCATTCAACTAGATTGTATTTAACAAATAATTTGTTTTTTTACGAGAAAATAAAAGAGGTTTACGAAAGTGCAATAAACTTAAAAAAAAAGAGTGGCATTTATCATCTTTATTTACATTTCATAACTGTCACATCAGCATCTTTCACAAATAGCTTGAGAAACAATGTTTAAGAAATTGAGTATATGAGAAGGAAACACAAAGAAAGAGAAAGTCGTCCATCTGCAAGACTGAGGGAAACCACATCAAGTGTCAACAGCTGCACACTCTTTTTAAAAACCCAACAAATGTTTCCATTTTGGTTAAAGCCATTGGGGAAAAAGTGGAACAGCTGATTTTCCTTGGTGGAATCATATCGATTTTTCCTCCCTGAACATTCGTTTCACCCTCTTCTCTCTCTCTCTCTCTCTCTTTTTCCTGTTTCCCAGGCCAAAGCAAAAAACATCCGACGCCAACCGTAATAAAAATTCCAATTAACCCAACTACCTGAACAAAAACCCTTCCCAAACCAACCTCAGCGTAATCTGAAATTATCTCTCCTAGCCAGTTAGGCTAGGTTAGTTATTTCTCAATTTGTTTTCATATTAAAGTTTTATCTTCCAAGTGTCAAATGCCACGTTGGGGTAGGTTATGTACAGAATTGGTACACAAATAATGACTTATAAGTGAACTTAATACAAGTACAAAGACCTTGGCAAGTCGACAGACACGTCAAGTACGTGCGACGACCCGAATCCCACAAAGGGGATCCACCCCTCTTTTTTTCAACTCTCACTCTTTCTCTCTTATTCAAGAAAAATTCTCAAAAACCTGTTTTTATCAATTTTTTATTTCACTTACCTTGCCTCCTCCTTTGAAAAATGATTGCCACCAACGCACTCGATTTCTTTTCTTTATCACCAACACCAAAACCCGAAGCAGCGGTTTTTAACATATATATATATATCACTTGAATATACGAAACTCTCTTTCTCTGACAACAGAACAGGACAGCTGAGTGCCCCGTCAGTTTTATGTAAGAGACATAACGTTTCGCAAACAAGAAACCTTAAAGGTGACTTGTATTGATATTTTTTAAAAACACCATATCGATAAGTCGTTCCCTTAATTTAATTGGGATTAACGCACTATCACCGCACTGTCACCGATTTTAATCCCTGGCCTGGCCTACCCCATCGACGACAACAACAAATATGGCGAGCGAACCTCCTCCTGAATCTCGGTAGGAGATCGACTGACGTACAATGTCACCAGACGGCGCCACATTTGCAACTCAATGTTGTCAGTCCCACCTCCACGAGAGAGCAATACGATTGGTTCATATTTTAGACGCCAACAACGCTATCTTCATGTCAAGTATGGAAACTCTATCGAGAATCGATTAATCGCGTAAAATTTTCAATCTTCCACCTTCACCATCCCCCCCCCCCTCTACAAGGCCTCATTATATTAAACGCGTGGCAGCACTGACTAAACCGCGAATTTATTGATCTCGAAATTCTGAATTTCGAAAAAAGCCATAATTTCACAAATCATCCAAAATAACATAATTTTGTTATTTTACCAAAAAAAAAAATTATTATTTTACCAAAAAAAAAAAATTGTTTTTTTAACTATTAAAAAAAAAAATTTCTATAACTAAAAATATTAATTTATTAAAATTTATAATTGATTTTTATTATTTTTTAAACCAAAAAATTAATGGAATATTAGAAAAAAATTTTGTTTTGTTTTCTAGAATAATAGCTGTCTTTTTTACCGACCGTGATTATAGAGTTGAGAATTTTACCACGGTGCGCTGTTGAACGTATTTCGTCTGCTAACTTTACAAAATAATACCTTGGATGGTGTCACAAAATTGTATTTATTAGTCTACTATATTTAAAAAAAAAAAAAATGCTGTTGTCTCGTGGTACGAAATTATTACAGTGCTTTGCACAATCAACATTGAAACGAAATGGAATTATTAATAAACAACAAGTGAGAAAAGAAAGTGATTGGCATGGACCGTAAGTAAATTACATAATTATTTATAGGTTATAATTTGATTTCAAAGGTTTTTTTTATTTATTTCTTTAAAAATAAATTTTTTATATATATAATTCGTATAAATGAATTTAATTTTTTGACTATTGGAATATTATTTCACTATATTGTTTTATTCGCATAATTTTATTTGTTGTTTGAATTATAAAAAAAAACATACATTTTACTTTGAATTTTTCAATTCTTTTTATCGAAAAAAATTTGAGGAAAAATTAGGAATTTTTATTTAACATAATTATCATTTACAGATGGGTGTATAGAGAACCTGGAAAACCCGCAAAAACTGCTTACATCACAGCTGAAGTTTGTGGAGCATTTGCTATTTGGTGGATTCTTTGGCACTGTTATCACGATTATCATCATTTAATAGTATGTATCAATTTTATTACCATTTAACAATTGCCATATATGAAAAATAAAATTTTTTCTTATCATAATTAATAATAATAATTTAATTTTACTTACTGTTCTTTAGGCCATAATTTCACAGAAAATTAAAAGGCATTAAAATAAGCGTTGCAGCTTATTTTAATGCATTTTAATTTTCTGTGTTAAAGTTCACATGATTTATTATTATTTATTATCTCCTAGGGATTCGATCTTCCTGAACATGAAGATTTTACCGATACAGAACTTGGAATTCCACCAGATGATGCAGATTGTTAATTATTTTTTTTAAAAAAAAGTTTTTTGTAGGTATAAAAAAATACAGTTAAAAAAATGTCATATTCAAGGAAATTTTCTTAATTCAATTGTATTCCAGTGAAGTAAATCTAAATTCTTAAATTTCAAAATTTATTGTGAACTTTACTCTTTTCAATAAAGTCATTTAACATTGATAATGAAGCATACAATTTTTTTTTTTCAAGAAATAATTTACAGTTAAAATGACGGGAATCGAAATAATTTTAAAAATTGTTATTCCATTTGCTTCAATATTTATTTTGAAAAATATAACAAAATATATAACAATAATCTTGTTTGAAAATATAAAATTACTATAAACGTCGAATGATTTAAGGCATTTTAATGTTAATTGTCTTGACTTCGAGATATTGTTTCAAGCCTTCTTCACCACTGAAATTCAATGATAAATATAAATAAAATAATTAAGTTTAAAATTAGTATTTTTTGTTATTCCGATACTCACAGTTCACGACCGATTCCTGATAATTTGTAGCCACCGAATGGTGTTTGGGGAGTAATAGCATCGTAACAATTGATCCTAATAAAATTATTATTATAATTTAATATTTAATTAGTTTTATTGTAATTAAAAGTTTGGATGCAATAACTTATTTGGCTTTTACTGAGGTGGTTCCCTTATTCAATTGGCTACTGAAACATGAAACAATGATTGGCTCTTTTTTTACGACCTTGAAAATTAGCCAATAGAAAAAAGGAGGCGTTTCCATTTTAATACAACTGTAGAAGCCGAATACAATTGTTTATTGCATCCAGTCTGTTAACTGTTTATTTTTTTCTTTTGTAATGTTAAATTTTAAACAACTTACCAGACACTGCCAGCTTCGACCGATTGAGCAAACATCAGAGCTTTATTAATATCCTTTGTTATTACTCCAGCAGCAAGACCATATTTTGTTTGATTTGCACGTTCAATAACTTCCTCAATTGTTTCGAATTTTAAAATACTTTGCACTGGACCAAATATTTCTTCTTTGGCAATTCTCATATTATCAGTGACATTTGAAAAAATTGTTGGCTGTAAAAATAGAATTAATTATAAGTATATTTTAATTTATTAATTGTAATATTAGTATTTTATAATTTATAATAATTATAACCTCTATGAAAAATCCAACGTTGCCAACGCGTTTTCCTCCAGTTTCAACTTTTGCATTTTCTTCCATTCCCGATTTAATCAAACCCATAACTTTATCGAACATGTCACGATCAATTTGAGGTCCTTGATCCGTATCAGATTTGAATGGATCGCCAACTTTTCTTTTCTGTGCCAACTGCTTGGCTCGCTTGACAAACTCATCGTAAACTTTTGATTGTACAAAAGTTCGTGAACCAGCGCAACAACTTTGCCCGTGATTGTCAAAGAGAGCATTGTAAGCGATTTCTGCCGCTTCATCAACTGAAATGGAGAAAAGTAATTTTTTTTTTTTTTTTTTTGTCTGAAATGGAATTCTATTGTAAAATTAAATACTCACGATCAGCATCATCGAATATAACAAGAGGACTTTTGCCACCAAGTTCAAGACTGACTCGTTTCAAATTACTTTTAGCTGATGCTGCCATAATAATGTGACCAACCTTTGGATGATAAAATTCTTTTTTATGTACAAGTAAAATATCATGATCTCTTAATTAGTCTCTAAATTTGTAATTTAGAGTTGATTTTCAATTAACTGAGAGTAAAATAATTGTGTCTTACATCTGTAGATCCAGTGAAGGCGATTTTATTCACATCATTATGTTCAGAAATTGCAGCACCTGCTGTTGGTCCATAACCGGGAATAACATTCACGACTCCTGGTGGGAATCCAGCTTCTTTAATCAACGATGCTAAATAAAGAGCACTGAGTGGTGTTTGTTCAGCTGGTTTTAAAATTATTGTACAACCAGTACACAAAGCTGGTCCCAATTTCCAAGAAGCCATTGCAATTGGATAATTCCAGGGAATTATTTGTCCAACAATGCCAACTGGTTCCTTTCTTGTCATGGCAAAATTATTTCCATCTAAATTCACAGAAAGAAATATATTACGAATTTGAAAAAAAAAATTTATTTTAATTGTAATGAGATTTTTAATAGTAAAAAAAAATATTTTTAATCTAACCAACGGGAATTGTGCTTCCATGAATTTTATCACACCATCCAGCATAGTATCGAATTGTGGCGACACTTCCACTTATATCGCCCAATGCACTCGTAAATGTTTTTCCACAATCTAAAGTTTCAATATTGGCCAAATAATTTGCATCCCGTTCGATTAAATCAGCCAGCTGGAATTGAAAATGTTAAATTTTTTTTTTGGAAAAAGATGAACAAGAGAAATTTTTATTTTCATATAAAAAATTGTATAACAAAAATACCTTATTCATCAATTTTCCACGTTCAGAAGCATCCATCTTTCTCCATTCTGATCCTCTAGAGAATGCTTTTTTTGCAGCAGCAACGGCAAGATCGACATCAGCCTTATGTAAAAAAAAAAATAATTTTGTAATAATATTCGTATTTCCTGTTTTTTTTATATTAAATATATATTGTTTTTATTACCTTATCCCCTTCAGACACTTCAGTAATGACTTTTTCATTAACTGGATTTATAGTAGGAAATTTCTTCCCACTAACTGAATCCACAAATTCGTTATTTATAAACAACTGAAAATTAAAAACGACAGGATTATATTTTGTGGAAATGAAAACATATTTTTCTTTAAGGTTATGTCAGACTTCTTTAATGCCTAGTTAGAACTTTCCTCAGTTTTTTTGTTTCATAAAACATATATATTTTTCAATTAATTTGTCTTCAAACTAATTATATCAATTTTTTCTTACAATCAACAATGTATATATATACATTAGTGATATAAAACATGCGCAATATTTTTAAGTGCAATCAAGGTCAACGTGAATTCTTGATAAGAAAAGTTTTACGGATTTCGGATAATAATTTATCTCAGTTATAAGAGTATTTTTTCTTTATGTATATAATTATAGAGAAATTAAAAATAATTAAGTATTACTTTAATTTAATTTATGTAAAATTAAAAAAAATTTCTTGCCTTTTTTTGATCAATATTAATAACAATTGTAATAATATTAATAAAAATAGTAATAATATTGTTATTAATAATAAAAATACTAATAATAAAATATATGGAAAATATTTTTCAATAAACTTACCTTTGTATATTTAATGGTGGGATTTGGATTTGCCATAATTTTAATTTTTTAATTATTAATAACGACAAACAATAAGAGGAGAGATTGTTGCCAGATGAAAACTACTAAAGAAATGCAAGAAATTACTGTTGACAAGTAAGACTTGAGTTTCACTTCTATCAAACTCGACTATATCGCAACATATGAGGGGTTACGTGCAAAAGTGAATATATACGCATATGGTTTCTGACACGGTGGGATAAGTATTGTCAAAAATAAGTCGTTTTTTTTTAAACAATTGTGTTTAGATTTTTTAAATTAAACAAATTAATTCTCACATACAATGAAAATAAAAATGAAATTTTCTCGTGATAAAAAATTTATAACCAAAATTTCTCGCTAAAATTAGATGGTATAACTTGAAATTCCTTCGATTAAAATAAATGAAGTTTTGAGATAAAATTTATCAGTTTGACAATACTTTTTCGACATTTACTTGAATGTTTATAAAATCATTTGCTACCTTAGAAATATCGTACAGATGTCGCATCAGAGCAAAAGTGAATATACCATATTGTAACTGATGCATATATATGACATAATATGTTAATTGGCAAGCTTATTACTAAAACAAACATATTTTATGTATTAAATTCTTTTCTATCTTTAAAAATTGTACTTATTTAAAAAAAATAAGTATATAAATAATAATACAATATAAATAAAAATTTAATGCATTTTAAATAAACTACATATATTTATATATTTAGGGATCTGTAGATCTACAGATTTATGGGTTTAGGGATTTATAAATCTATGTATATATGAATTTAAGGATTTAAAGATCAATGGATTTAGGAATCTATAGATCTACAGATCTATTGCTTGAGGGATCAACAGATCTATATGGATATAAAGATCTATATAGATCTATGTATTTATGGATTTAAGGATCTATAGATCTATAGATTCAAAGATCTGTAGACTTATGTATCTATGGATTTAGGGATCTATAATAAATGGATTATAAATATTATATATACACATTTTAAGTAACGTTTCATTAATTTTATTAAATGAAATATTTCTTAAATTATTACATAAGGAATTTTATTGTTTGATAATATTATGTGATCATCGTTTAAGTTTAATTAAGTCATAATGACTTTACAACATTTTTGCATAAAAATAATATAAATCTTTTTGTTTCCATTCAACTGAATCATATGAATTAATTAATAATGAAAAAAAAATGTAACAAAATATTGTTATATTAAATATAAATAAACTATATATAATCGTGTTGAAATGAATTAAATTATAACTAATTCTTAAATAATATGTATATGAACATTTATATTATCTTATCGTGAAATTACTTTTGAAATGGAGCATTTGAATCTTATCATAAACTGCATTTTTCACTCGGCATTTAGAAGAGTATGTGAACTTTTTGTTGAGTCATGATTGTCATCTGACTATATCAAAAGAATTGCAATTTAAAACCACCACTCAATCACACGTCATATTTATTAAGTTTTTCAAGAAATTTTTTTTAAACAACTTGTTTTGAGTCATTTATACTTTGTTAGGGAAAAAAGGCGGAAACTTTTTTTTTCTTTTGTATTAACAAAACTTAATAGTTATTTTACATTCAAATATAGCTTCTAATTAATTATATTTATTTTATTACTTGTATTATTAAATACATTTATTTAATTTATAAAATTATAATAATAAATAAACAAAATATATGTGGCATATAATAATGTTTTAATAGACTCAATTCCATGTTAATAAAATGCTTAAAATATATAATATACTGTTGAATGAAAGACAAACTATCAATTTCAAAATGAATACATTTAACTTCTATTATTTTGAACTATTATTTTCTAAATTAACATAATAATTAAAGGTTAATGTGAAGACTAAAAGGTTTTGCATCGAATCGATTGATCTTTATATTAGTATCAACTTTGAATGAAGAATAAATTTTACTCCTCATTATTACTCCCTAACAAAACTAAAACAAATTCTGCGCATGAGTGACTTTTGAGATTCTTTGACAGTGTATTTCTGGGGGAATCAAGAACTATATATAAAGATTTTCCAGCTTAGAAAGTGTAGACAATTCATTAACTAGTGTCAAGTATCGCATTAACATTTGCGTTTTTTTTTTTGTGAATTGTGTCTATTTACATTTCTTTCAGTGTGAAGAAAAAAAAATGACGGATTTCAAACCCAATCCAAATCCAAGTATAGAATTTACAAAGGTAAGTTTTAATTCTTTTTTTTCGTTTTATTTATACACAATAATAAATTTATATAATATAAAAATATATAAACGATTAATTTTATTTTTTTTAAAAGTTATTAAAAATGATAGGAATTTGAGTTTTCGGTGCGCATTGCTTTCATTTTTTTGCCGGAACAATTTTAAATTTTTTGGTGCGCATTGCTTTTATTTTTTTGCCCGAACAATTTAAAATTTTTTGGTGCGCATTGCTTTAATTTTTTTTGTCTCAACACTTTGAAATTTTTTGATGCGCATTGCTTTTATTTTTCTGCCTCAACACTTTGAAAATATTTGGTGCGCATTGCTTTTATTTTTTTTTGCCTGAAGACTTTGAAAATATTCGGTGCGCATTGCTTTTATTTTTTTTGCCTGAAGACTTTGAAAATATTCGGTGCGCATTGCTTTTTATTTTTTTGCCTGAACACTTTGAAAATATTTGGTGCGCATTGCTTTTATTTTATTGCCCCAACACTTTGAAAATATTTGGTGCGCATTGTTTTTATTTTTTTGCCTCAACACTTTGAAAATATTCGGTGCGCATTGCTTTAATTTTTTTTGTCTCACACAGTAAAAACAAAGTCTTAAACCGTTTACACCTTAAATTAAGCCCATATATTTTGCATAAGTCTGTCCTTTTTTAATTGGTCTGACTCCGTTTACACCTTAAATTCAGCCTCAAAAATAGGCTGAAATCAAGATTTCTTTTTTAGTGTGCAACACTTAAAAATTTTTTGATGCGCATTGCTTTTATTTTTTTGCCTTAATACTTTGAAAATATTCGGTGCGCATTGCTTTTATTTTTTTGCCTTAATACTTTGAAAATATTCGGTGCGCAAAAAAAAAAAAAAAAAAAAAAAAAATAAATAAATATTAGAAAAATGTCTTTTTTTTTAATTTCAAATTTGAAAATTTGTTTATAAAATGTTTTTATAAAATTTTAAAAACTATTTACATTTATTTTCTTTTACACAAAGTTATAAATACCCGAATAATTATATGGCATACATAATATGAGGATTATCATGTAGAATTGATAAGAAAGTTACAAACAAACAAAAAAAACTGGTTTATTTTTTGTAATGCTTTGTGATCGAGTGAAAAATAGAAAAAATACAAAAGAAGAATTTCAATTTTTAAAATTTCTATACAAATTTTTTTTTTTTATTTTCTATTTTAATTGCAAAACAAATAAATTACTATTTATTTTAGATTTTCATTAACAATGAATGGTACAATTCAGTGAGTGGAAAAAAATTTCCAGTTATAAACCCATCGAATGAAAAAGTTATTGCCAATGTAGCTGAAGGAGATAAGGTAAATTTTAACCTTTTATCATTTCACTGAACCAAAGGATGTTTTGATACATATCAATATTAGATTTTTTTTGTACAAAAAGTTTTTTTTTACATTCTTACCAAGTATAAATATACTATATTACGTTAGTGGCATAATCGAAAAAAAATTGTATAGAAAAATTTTTAAATTTATACCAGATCATTATCAGATCTTTTTTTTTTTGGTTAAATAACCATCACAAAAAAGATTTCTGAAACACTTTTAGAAATATCTTATACAAATCCGTTAAAATTTATCAAATATTTTGGTTGTAAATTTTGAAGCTAAATTTTCAATGATGATAAATATTTTTTTCTAAATCCATGTCACAGAAATTTCAAACTTAATAATACTTTAAAAAAAAAGTTAATAATTAATTAATGAATGACATCACACATTCGTGTAGTAAAAAAAATTACATATAATATTCATAAATATCTAGGTTTTAAAAGTACAGCACTTATCTTAATTACTATTCATTATCATGGTACACGATTGTTATATTCTAATCGAATTATCACTAGGATTGTATAAGATATATTCTTAAAAATAACTCAATAATAATGTTCCCTCTGAACAATGATGTAATAAAAAACATATTTTTTAAGACCAAATTTTGAAATAATATTCATGTCCTTAATGATTAATTGAAACTGTCATTCATTATTATTATTATTATTATTATTATTAATATTTTGCAAAGAAACCATTAGGAAATGAATATACGAATTGAAAATTTGTATAGGCGGATATTGATAAAGCAGTTGCTGCTGCCAGAGAAGCATTTTCAAGAGGATCATTATGGAGACAAATGGATGCCTCTGCACGAGGAATAATTATTAACAAGGTAATGTGACGTAATATTCATAAATATGTATATTTTAGAGACTATTAATTTACACTGTCTCTTAGAAAATGCAAGAAGAAAATTTTCCATTAATAATAATTATAATTATAATTGTCTTTAAAGTTGGCTGATCTATTGGATAAAAATGTGAATGAACTCGCTAGCATACAATCAATAGAAAATGGAAAACCTTTTTTAAATTCAGTTGACGAAGTTGTTAGATCTTCTAAACTTCTTCGTTATTTTGCTGGCTGTGCTGATAAAATTCATGGAAGTACATTACCAGCTGGTAATTAAAAAAAAATCTATATAAATTATTATTTCCGATATTAAACAAACATCAACGTTATAACGACAATCACATATATATAGTTCAATCCGAAATTAATCAAAAATTACAAAATTAATTCAAATTCAATTTTGGAATTAGTTCCAACAGAAATAGATATTAGAAATAAATTCAAAAAAAGTTGGAAAAATCAGTTTAGATTCATTTAAAATTTTAGGAGTGATAGAAATAAAAATTTACTTTAGTGGATAAATTATTAAGAAAACAGTTCTAAATAATTTCACTGATTCTAAGCTATTTCGAAATAATTTTGGATTTGTATTTCTCTCAGAATTATTGCAAGATTAATGCAACAGCATCTTTCAACACAGTTTCCTCAATTCTTTTTTTGGTTTCTGTTTGCACCATTAGATGGAGATGTTTTTGCAATGACAAGAAAAGAACCAGTTGGTGTAGTGGGTTCAATTATTCCCTGGAATTATCCAATAACAATGGTAGGAATGAAAATTGGTCCAGCTTTGGCAACAGGTTGCACAATGGTTATGAAACCAGCTGAACAGACACCATTAACGGCTCTTTATATTGCAAATCTCGCAAAGGAAGCTGGTCTTCCAAAAGGAGTTCTTAACGTTGTTCCAGGCTATGGAAACACTGCGGGTTCTGCTTTAGCAGAACATCCAGATGTTAATAAAATTGCTTTTACCGGTTCTGTTGGTGTAAGTTCTAACCCATTCATTTATATAATAATAATCAATTACTCTATAATAATTCCTGTTTTTTTTTTGAAATCACAAATTGTAGATTGGAAAGAAAATAATTGAAGCTTCGGCAAAGAGTAATTTAAAGAGAGTTACCCTGGAACTTGGAGGAAAAAGTCCATTGGTTGTTATGAATGACGCAGATCGTAAGTAGAAGAATTTTTTTTAGAGTACAAAAAATGAATGAATAACTAAATTTTCAGTGGAACTTGCTGCCACTTATACATCGTTGGCATTTTTAAATGCGGGACAAATTTGCCTGGCTCCAACCAGAGTTTATGTTCAAAGTGGTGTTTACGATAAATTTCTTGATATGATTGTAAAGAGAGCAACATCATTAAAAGTTGGCGGACCTTTCGAATCTGATTCTTTCTATGGATCCCAGGTGATCATTTGAATGTAAATCATCAAAGAGTTTTTTTTGACAAACTTTTCTCTTTCATTTTTAGATTGATGACAGAATATTTAAAAGAGTTATGAGTTATATTGAATTGGGTAAAAAGGAAGGTGCAAAATTAGAAACTGGTGGACATCGTCATGGTAATTTGGGCTTTTTTGTTCAGCCGACAATTTTTTCGAATGTCAAAGATAATATGACAATTGCAAAAGAAGAAGTAAGTTATATTATTTGTTGGTATTTGAATGAAAAAAAAAATTAAACGTTAATTAATTAATAATATAAATATAGATTTTTGGTCCAGTACAATCACTTTTGAAATTTGACACTTTGGAGGAAGTTATTAAAAGAGCTAACAACACAACTTACGGATTGGTTGCTGGTGTTTTCACAAAAAACATTGATCAGGCATTGGAATTTTCAAAAGCAGTTGAAGCTGGTACTGTTTGGTAAGTTTTCACTTAATATTTTTTTTGTAATTGAATAAAATTAATTTTCAATTTTATATTAAGAGGACATTTATATTTTAAGGGTCAATCAATGGTTTAATATGTCAGCACAAACTCCATTTGGTGGCTACAAACAATCTGGAATTGGACGCGAAATGTAATAATTCTTTTTCTATTACAAATGTTAAAATTGATTAGAAATAAATTATTTATAATGAAATTTTTAATGAAAATCTAAAAAAAATAATTTTTGTTACAGAGGAATTGAATCTCTTGACCATTACATGGAGGTTAAAACAATTAACATAAAATTGCCATCAAATCATTGAACTTGATTAAAATCAAAAAACAATTTTTTCTAAAGTAAAAGATTTTTGCACATGATAGCAAATAAAAATGGTGCTTTTAGAGAATATATATAAAAAAAAATGTATATTTATAATTTTTGTAGAATAAAATTTTTTATATAGTTTACATTGTATTTTTGTAAATATATGTCTTTTTTATAATATATTAGTATTTAAGAAGTATATTTAAACAAAAATTTTATTTTAATTAATTTATATTATTTCAATTAAATTTTGAATTTGTTTCGCGCCAAAAAATTATTTTTCTTTTTAAATGAAAGCAATTTGAGACTACAGTTATATATCGTAAAACAGGTTTTCCTCTCTGCGACAGTATTAATAGAATATGGGAAAAAAAAAATTTAAATCAACATGGAGATGAAACTAAATTTTCTATTGTATCAAAGTACATACTTATTGGAGTTGAGTAGTTAATTATACGAGAAAATGTGTTTAAAAAAAAAAAAAATTGAGAGAAGGGGAATTATACATTGTATGTAAATAACTGGAGCTTCAGATAATGCTGACGCGTTATCGGTCTTAAGCTCGAAACAGTATACTTCAATCATGATACTCAGTAAGTTGTGTGCGCGTCTACGAATCACTGCCACGCCGTTTATTCCAACTTGTTTGGAATTACAAAAAAATGTCACAAGAAATATGCATTTCACCTATGTTCCCGACAAGGAATTACAAACTGACGGTAAATACTAAAAAAAGGAAATTCTTTTAGTATTATTGAAGTTTATATAATTACGCACATTTATTATTTTCCTGTCTGTTATATTCTAATGAAATGTAAAAGATACTGTAATGTTTTGTAATGCATGAATTAAAATATAATAAAAACCGAGAAATACATATAAAATAATTAGAAATAACAAATATAAAAATATAATTATACTTTTATTTTTGTCGATCATATGTTATATTTCAAGAAAAGATTTTAGAAATTTTTTCAACCACTTTCCAGTTTAAATAAATTTCTCGATCGTGAAAATAACATGATACGAAGTTTCACAACTAAAATTGACAACCAAGTTTTTATCTCTCTCGTCTAAAAACTTTTCTATTGGGAATTAAGATTCTAATTTATGATAAATATTATTACTATTACTATTATTCTAATTATTATTATAAAAAATAATCAGAATAATAGTTTTTAAAAGAATATTTTTTAAAATTTGAAAAGTTTATTAACAAAACCCAAAGAAATATTTAATTTATTGAAAACGAAATATTAAAATTATTGATAAGGACATATGCTTAGTAACTAGAAAACAAAATAAAATGAATAATTTAAAAATGGAAATACTGAAAAAATTTATAAATATTCTACTTGATATAGTTTTCAATATATTGAAATACTATTTTTTTTTATTAATTTTGCAATTTCGAAATTTTAAAAGATCCATTTTTTTTATAATTATATATTTATTAATTTTGTTATTTTTTTTAGTTGAGACCAAACGGTTAAACATGTTTCAAGCAATAAACGATGCTCTGAGACTTGCTATGGAGAAAGATTCAACTGCAGGTAAAAAAAGAGAATTTTAAATTTGAATCCAATATTCAGTTTATAAATTATTTTTTATATAATAAAATTATATGAAAAAAAAGAAATTTATAGATACGTTAATAATTAACAGAAAATTATTAAAATATTACAGTTATTTTTGGTGAGGATGTGGCATTTGGCGGTGTATTTCGATGTACAATGGATTTGCAAAAAAAATTTGGTACAGATCGTGTTTTTAATACACCATTATGCGAACAGGGAATCGCTGGATTTGGTATTGGTTTAGCTAATCAGGGCGCAACAGCAATAGCAGAAATTCAATTCGCTGACTATATATTTCCTGCATTTGATCAGGTAAATTTACATTTTTATCAATTGCCGATAAAATAGATTCCTTGAAGAGAATTGCAATTTTTTTTATTTTTGCTTCTATTTACATCTTTCTTATATTTGGAAAATAAAAAATATTTTTCAAAAAGAATTTCTGTATTCAAGTAAATGATTTAAAAATAAAAAATTGTATTTTACCGTGTGTTAAAAATGAGAATTTCTCTATTATCGACAGTTGGTAAATGAAGCGGCAAAAGTACGTTATCGAAGTGGCGGTACATTTGACTGTGGAAAGTTGACGGTAAGAGCGCCTTGCGGTGCTGTTGGACACGGGGCATTATATCACTCGCAAAGTCCTGAAGCTTATTTCGCCCACACTCCTGGACTCAAGGTTATTATCTTTACATCTATATTTCTTTCTTTTTTTTTTTTGCATATTATACTATGTCTCTTAACATGTTTACATTCTAGAATATATATATATTGGATGAACAAATTTATTGACGAAAAAGTCAAGAGCTTTTTCATTTTTTATGAAAAACATTTATTGATTTTACTTTGTGTTTAATTTATGAAGATGGTTATAAAATTTTTTTTCTCTATGTTATTTACTAAAGGCGAAAAAAATTAAGCATTACAAATACCTACTTTATTGCGCATAAAGTCGGAAAAAAAAATTATTATCTCAATCAGTAAAGCGAACTTGTTGTCGTTTAATTAATATTTGTTGATTTTGCCTCATTTTTAGTTATTTTTTTTTTATTATCAACTATTCAATTCGTGATAGAGAAAAAATGACTTTCCTAGGTTGACCGTGAAAAGATAGCAGGGAGTCCTAATATGGAAGGCCTTTCATTGAAAGAGGCTTTCAGCTATTGAAAGAGGATACAGATTAATGATCCAAATGAAAAATAGTCTTTAGGGGTCATTCACAACATATATGTGATATAGAATAAAAAACTCTTGAATGAGATTTCATTTGTTGAATATAAGCAATTTTGCATTCAATTTTTTTTTCTAATTTTCAAAATTAGTAATTTTAATTTTTTAAATAATCTTTCTTCTACGTTCATAATATATATAGTATTTTATTACAGTTTACAAATATTTAATTTTATGAATGAAACCAAATTTTTTGCTAAACAAACTTTAACATTAATAAAACATTTTCTTTTATATTGTAAATAAACAAAAAGTTCACTAACCAGCTAAAGTTTAAAGTAATCATTACCAAGTTTATACAGAAAAAAAAAATTTTAATTAATAATTTAACACTAATAATTGTTAATTCAATTTTTATGAACGGCTAATATTTTTCATTGTCTTATACATATTACATGCCTTTAAAATAAGTAGAAATTGACAGTTACAAGTTTTATCACCAAAAACCTTGAATATAATACACATAAAGTTTTAAAAAAATTAATAATTGAAGAGTAATTTAAACAATAAAAAAAACTTTTCATTTGAAAAATAGAATCAAAGTAAAATAAACAAAATAAAAAAAGTGTAACGTGAAGGCTGTAGAAATATATATATACATATATTTTGTTCAATTTTATTTAATATCATATACTTAATAGCATTCAACTTAGAAAACGAATAAAAAGGTCAACTTGAAGTAGATAGTGTACAATATAACTAAGAAACCATTGAGAAGAATCAATAGCCTATCTAGAACCTACAACCTACATGCTAACAAAAGAAATTTTTTATAAAATGCCCGACTTCCATAAATCGATTTGCAGCTATAGCCATGCAACTATATAAGTGTGAAAAATAATACGCCTGTTCGTTATTTATTAAATTTATAAGACGAGAAAACTTTATATACAACTTGGTTTACTTGTTTTGATTTTTTATAATTTTCTTCACCCTTTCAAGGAGTTATTTTATTAAAATAAAAGTTTCGTTTTTTTTAATATATATATATTGTAGAGATAAATAATAATGCAGAAAATATATAATATTGCATATATTTATTGCAATAAATTTTTGTTTGTTATAATTTAGTTAAATTTAACATGAGCCCGTTTTCACCGTATGGATAAATTCAAACCTCCGAGAGGTTAAAGGCAGCTGAGTCTGCGCAGAAACAAACATTCTGCGCAGACGCAGAATATATCTCTACTGCCTTTAACCTCTCGGAGGTTTAAATTTATCCACACGGTAAAAATGGCCTCAAAAGTTAATTCGTAGACTATAATAAAAACTAAAAATATTTTTACAATGACCTATTCCATGAAGTATATAATTTTTTTTAGGATATTTATATACTTTTTATAAGAAAAGCTAATGGTTGAAGTATATATATATATAATTATCGTTTGATACTGTGATTATCAATTAAAACACATTCCGGTTATCCATAAACGTATAGCTCGAATTATGAAATTCGATTTTAGACACACACTAATTACCCCCCTCGGAAAGATCTTTAATTATACCTGCACTCCAAGAATATATGAGTTAACTCTCTTTTCACACGATCGACACATAGATGGATTGGAATTTAACTTGTCTTGAACGATTTCATTACAAAGTTTCGCAGTTTCATCGAAATGCGAAAACTATGAGGATTGAGACGTTGGGTTTATCGGATTTAATCGAAGTAGATTTTATATATATATACAATATATACGCAGTCATATATATATATATAGTTGTATCTGTATATTTTAATTTAATGATGGCTTTACATCATCGTATACATGCATGCGGAAACACTGCGTCAATATTACACGACGCATTTGCACCTGTATTATATATATATAGATGCGCATATATTCATGAAGAAAATTTTTCCAGTAATTCAATTTCTAATTTTTCAACCTTTTTCTATGACTTCATACATGACATTTTATTCCAATTTATTGGGAAGTGTTTAAAACATTTACAAATTAAGCAATTCCCATTATTTCTGGAATCTGAACAATTTTTTTTCACTTATTTCTTTTCAATTCGATACAAAGTTGTCCAACGTTAAATCACACAATTTATATATGTACTGATAAAACATGTACTGTAAATGCCTCAATACTATACGTAACAATGTGGTGATTTATAAGAAAAGTTACTCAATCGATGTCGATACTTCAAAACTGGTAGTTTAAATAAAAAAGAACTACAAAAATGGGGAAAAAAAAATTTTTAGTTTATGTTTAGTGATAGTTTTTGTACCTTTATTAAACATTTTTAATTATGAGACAGTTTTTACAGTGTGGATAAATTTAATCTTTCGAGAAGTTAAAGGCAGTAGATATATTCTGCGCAGACGCAAAATATATATCTACTGCCTTTTAACTTCTCGGAAGATTAAATTTATCCACACGGTGAAAACGGCATCTATCAAAATCAGTTTTTATTGAATATTTTAAATCTAATGAAAACTCAGTTGTTTTTATCAAGAGCATCTTCTTTTTTAACTGACATTTAGAAGTCAAAAATTCAAATTCTACCTTGAAGGAAAAACTATTTTAATAAAATTTATTTATTTACATATTAAATTTTTCTAATTTTTAATGTCAAGGCAAAATTACATGGACTTTTTTTTTAATAATAAATAGTTATGAAATTTTTTAAAATTCACGTAATAGAACGATTTTCTTTCGTAATCATATGTATATATATATAATAGCAACATTAAACCGCACGTAACGTGAAGATTAGTATAAAGGCTTATAAATGTGGAGTAACACTTTCATAATATTTTTATTTTTTCTATAACATATATAATATAGCAGAAAAGAGGAACTGCGAACAAAATAAATATGTGTTGTGATAGTTGATCTTAAAAAGAAATAAGTGAAAGGAAAGAAAGTTATATGGAGAATGTAGAAAGATGATGATACACGATATGCATATATATATATATATACAATATGCTAAATGGAATTTTGCACCCTGCGGCTGCTTTAAATTTTTCATTTAACATAATTTATTAACACTCTGTTTCCGGATTAAAATAATTCAAAAACAGATATAACAAAAACATAATTTGAAAAAACGAATTTAAAAAAAAACAAACAAAGAATCATAATTTATCACACCAATTATGAATACAAATATAACCTGGTTAGAAAAAAAAATAAACAGGATTAAGAAATGACATTTTACTATTTCGCTCTTTGTTTCCTAACGTGTATTAATAGTTGTTATGGTCAACGGGTTTATATTGTCGTTTGACGTCTGTTGAGACTGAAAGTATATTAATAATCCGGATCTGGTGTGTATATATGTATTACGCATTGACTGAAAAAAAACGATTCTTTTTATGAGACCCTATAATAAGATTAATCAGAATCTAATTTTAGAATTTTAATTCAGGTGGTTGTTCCTCGAGGACCGAGACAAGCGAAAGGATTACTATTGAGCTGTATCGAGGAACACGATCCATGCATTGTATTTGAGCCAAAAGTTCTATATAGATCAGCAGTGGAAAACGTTCCTCTTGATTTTTACAAAACACCCATTGGCAAAGCAGAAATCTTAAGAGAAGGTCAGTCCCTCTCAATATTGTACAATGGAGTTATTGTCCTAAATTTTTTGTTTTCTTTATTGACATACAAAGAAGTCGTATATCTTCTTTATACAGATTTCACTTTTATCACTGAATTGTATATATTTTACTTTTACTGGTATTTTAAATATTCCCTTGATCTCTTTACATACAATAGAAGGTCCTTCTTTAAACATTATATACCGGATTGTAAATTCAATTTCTAAAAAATAATTTTCTTTGATTTTGGTTTATAATAAAGTAAAAAAATTTTTGAAAAATTCTTCCTTCAGGCAATGATGTAACTTTAATTGGATGGGGTACTCAAGTGCATGTTTTACAAGAAGTGGCTGATCTAGCCCAAGAAAAACTTGATGTTTCCTGTGAAATTATAGACCTTGTTTCCATTCTCCCCTGGGACATTGATACCGTGTGTCAGGTAATCATTTTTCTTTGAAAAACTTTTAATTAAAATTATTTCAGTGATATTATTAAAGCATCCTCGGGGATGTTTGGACATTATTTGTATTTAAAATTTTTTTTTTACAAATGCTCCAATAAATATGTTTTTTTATAATTTATTATTTGCAGTCAGTGAAAAAAACTGGACGCGTTATCATTTCTCATGAAGCCCCAATGACCTGTGGTTTTGGAAGTGAAATTGCAGCAACTATTCAAGTAAGATTAAAGTTACTAAATTTGCATTAGGGTTATTTAGTGGAAATATATTTTTATTTATAGAGAAAGGGCATCAAAATGGCTAAGGTCGACACTGGTTTAAAACGTTAATTTCTGCTCTATTATAGTTATCAATATTATTTATTAATAAACTTGTTCTAACTAGTTTGCATAAAAAGTCCATTTTTAATTTTTCAATATATATATATATATATTGATTTAATTATTTTCAATCACGTTTTACTTGTCAGAAATATTTTTTTCATCCACGTGCATAATAATAATAATAATCATAATTATACAAGAAATAATCATTTACATATTGCAATTATACAATTGTCAATTGTCGCAGGTTCTGAAAAAGGACAATTTCATCATAAAATCGATACTTATGAATAATCGCCTTTTAAATGATAAAATGGTAATTGTTGAAGATTTTAGTCAATACTGTTACGACAGTTAATTCATTATTCAATATTCATTTCTCTATTATTTTTAATTGTGAAAATTGTTCATAAGATTTTTTCTTTGTGACAAAAAATTCTAGTGATAAAATAAAATCTGTTTTACCGATAAATGATAATGCAGATTTGACTGCTCTGTTTTACCGATTAATGATAATACAGAGTTAACTCTAAATCAGTAACAATTCGACTAATTTTCAGTGAAATCAATTACAGTAGAAAGATTACAACTGTGAAACAGTTGCTAAATTCCAGCTATTTCGTCAGTAAAATCTCAAATTTAGAAAATATTCTGATCCTGAAATAACAAAATTCTGATTTTATATCTCTATGTAAATTTGACTATTAAATTTTTTTTTTATTCATCTCTTCAGTATTTTTAAATAAATAAATTTAACGAATATTATATATCTAGGAAAGATGTTTTCTACACTTGGAAGCACCAGTTGGAAGAGTAACCGGGTGGGATACTCCTTTTCCTCATGTTTTTGAACCATTTTATATACCAGATAAGTGGCGATGTTTCTCATCAGTAAAGAAGATCGTCGACTTCTAAATAGAACTGATCGAAGGGAAAACATTTCCAAGAAGAGGATTCGCAACATTTTTTTTTCTTAAAACTATTTGTAAAACCCGTTCAGCAAGTACATATATATAAAAAAAATGTATTCTCACTTAATAGAAGTGTAATATTTAACGAGCGGCCGTGTAACGCCATTCTCTCAACATGTGTTGCGTATATATGTGTATCTCAAAAAATCGTGATAAATTCCGCGATATCGATTTTTCGTACTGGCATGACTATCACCTTCGTATCACGTGGACGCGGACCGGTCCAGGCGAAGGTAGTTTTATCGTGGGACGAATGAGAGTATCTTGGAAGTATTTTGCGATTGTATATATATATATATATATAGTTAAACACATATACAAACATAAATAAACTACTTGCAAAATCCCTTTCTCCCTGCACTTTGAGTGAATGCGTTTCTATTTCAATTTGAAAATTGAAATTTTTTTCATTGAAAATAAAAATTTATTTTAACAAATTAATATTAGTTTGTAATTATTTACACTTTCCTCTAAATAGAATATTATAAGTTTGACAAAATTGTACCTTTGACATAAATGTCGATAAAGTAGGTGACTGACTTATTATATTTTTAATGTAGATTATCTAATTTTCACACTTCTATATAAATGTCGGTAAAGTAGGTGGCTGATTTATCATATTTTTAATCTTAGATAACATAAAATATAATAAGTCAGTCATCTACTTTACCGACATTTATATAGAAGGTATTAAAACACCTTCTTTTCAAAATTGTAAACCCTTTTCAAATGACGGAAATAATTTGTAATTCCAATTAATATAAACAATATTATCAGAGTATGCAACAGGCAACTATTGTAATTTTTTATATAGTAATTATATTAGAATTGTAAAAAGTAAATTAAGAATCTTTTCTAAAAAAATACTCTCATTTTTGAAAAAAAAAACATGATTTTGAAATGAAATTCTTTCTTCTACTACATATTGATGGATTTATGTTTCTTTCGACTTATTCATTGTGTTATTTTTAAAAAGCTACAGCAATACATAAATATTTTATATATAATAATTCATGCAAGTTGGACTCCCATAAATAAGGCCAAGGTCACCTGTCTGCCTGGGATATTATCTATTCAACGGGAGATTTAGCCCCTTGGCTATAATTTCAAAAGTGACAGTGAATTTTAGTTGTTGTAATTTAAAGCAATGTGTGCTTTGTTTCAGTATCAACGATTGCCTAAAGAAAATATTTCTTTCATCATGCATATACACACCGCATATATACTGACCGCAATTATAGAAAAATCAATATAATTTTCATTTTGATTAATTTCGATAAAAATAAATATACAATATTAGAGATGATAATGGACGAGAAATGATATAGACTGAAAAAAGAAATCTCTGAAGGGGTGAAACCTTAAAGAAATCGTCGCCTTCCTTTTTCCGCTGTCTAGATAGAGAGACAAAGTTGACCGCAACAACACCTTGTTACATCTTTAATTCATTGTCATAGAAAATTATTGTTATTAGCTTATTAAAAATGCAAAATAAAACACTTAACTTTTTTATTTATTTGTAATTTAGTAATTTTGCCTAAATACCTGTCCAATGAGTAATAAAATAGCATATACATAAAACCTTATAATACAAAATAATATAAATGAAAAATTTTAGCAGAAAAAATAAATTTACAATTACTTTATTGTTAAAAGGCAAAAAAAGGGGGAAATGCTTCTTTCGATCAGAAGTAAAAAAAGCTCTCGTTAACCCCTCCCCCCCTCTCACCCGAAGACTATATATTATAAAATAAACAAAAAAAAACCCCCCATTGCCGAAGGAAGTGCGCTGAGCGTTCACAGCATTTTGTAATTTGAAAGGGAAACCACATTCTTTCACTGTGTATTATGATACGTGAAAGTTGGCAACCATGCACACACTTAAAGAGACACGGAGCCAGTCGCCGCGCTCCGAGAAGGCATAGCCTATATCGAAGGTCGACGAGTTTTGCTTTTTATCAAACGATTTTTGCGTAAATAGTATATTGGATCGACTCCTAACATATGGTGAAGATGTACATCAAGTCAATGACCCTAATCACAATTTTTATCAATCCCATTTATCACTGACAATGAATTGTTTATGCCCTCAAAAACACAAGGCTTATCAATAATTACCTGCAATGAGAAAAAATAATAAGAAAAATTCCCCAATTTTTAATCCTTTTATAATATATTCCATTTTTTTTTCAATTTTTGTTTTTCAAGGAAGTTTTTTTTTCTTTTATTAAGAATTTCCCTTTTGAAATTGAGAAAATTCGAAGACAGGCAATTTATTGAATAAACAATGTTTTATGTAACAAATCATTTGTGTGTTCTTATATATATATAAAAAAAATTTGCAAGTTAAGTACAACATATGTGTTTCAACTTTGAGGAAACTTTGATAAACACGATATTGACATAAATGAAAAAATAATAAACAAATAAAGAATAAAAAAAAAATCAAATTTGATTTCGAATTTATATAATTTATTCTAAAATTATATATAAATGACCCGGATATGCAATTGTTATGAATTTATTGCAGGTGGTATAAAAAAGAAAATACAAAAGCCTTATCTGATGATTTCTCACTACAGATCAAATTAATTCAATACGCATATTTTACAAGTGTACATTATGTAACACTTGAAGTGAATACATTTTGTATATATTAAAATCAAAAAATGTCAAAAATAAATATTAACAACTGACTCGAATTTCCACATAATTTATATGAATAAAAAAACATTCCGCACTTGTACCAAAAATTAAAAAACAATTTAACAGTTTTATTACCAAACCAAGAAATATTAAAAGTAAAAAAAAGAAAAACTAAAGCGATTTATTACATTTCAAAAGAGGTTATTAAAAAATTTGGAAAGAAAAATATTAAATTGTAATATGATAATTATAACTTAGTTGAAAATGAACAACGATATCAGTATATAATTTGTTATTCACAAATGAATAATTTATATATATTTATAGTAAGAGCAAATCCGATACATTTTAATTTCCTTTTCTTTATCGTTGAATTTTCCATATACACAAGAATTGAGAAGTAATTCTATTAAATTCTTGCCCTGCAACTCAATGACTTCTTGGTCGAAAGAGTGATTTGAAATTGAAAGCAAAGAATTTACAGTTCTTATGAAATTAGCATAACGAGTGCCCGACACGATCTATACCACACTCTTGACCAATAAGTACTCTGGAATGTTGTAATTTGCCTACTAAATTTTTAAATACGACATATATTCAATAATTAATTTACGTCCAATCACCTATTGTCATACTTTTTTTTTCATTGTCACTAAAAAAAAAACTATTTTAAATTTAAATGACTTTTCATTTATTATTCTTGACTACAATGTCCGCTAGAATATATTTTTCATAAAAAAAAAATAATAGAAAATTATTAACATAGCTTTTACTAAAAGCGTGCGCATTGCTTTTATTTTTCTTCCTCAACACTTTGAAAATATTTGGTGCGCATTGCTTTTATTTTTCGGCCTCAATACTTTGAAAATATTCGGTGCGCATTGCTTTTATTTTTCGGCCTCAATACTTTGAAAATATTCGGTGCGCATTGCTTTTATTTTTCGGCCTCAATACTTTGAAAATATTCGGTGCGCATTGCTTTTATTTTTTTGCCCGAACAATTCTAAATTTTTTGGTGCGCATTGCTTTTATTTTTCTGCCTCAACACTTTGAAAATATTTGGTGCGCATTGCTTTTATTTTTCGGCCTCAATACTTTGAAAATATTCGGTGCGCATTGCTTTTATTTTTTTGCCCGAACAATTCTAAATTTTTTGGTGCGCATTGCTTTTATTTTTTTTTGCCTGAACACTTTGAAAATATTTGGTGCGCATTGCTTTTATTTTTCGGCCTCAATACTTTGAAAATATTCGGTGCGCATTGCTTTTATTTTTTTGCCCGAACAATTTTAAATTATTTGGTGCGCATTGCTTTTATTTTTTAGGCCTCAACACTTTGAAAATATTTGGTGCGCATTGTTTTTATTTATTTATTTATTTATTTTTTTTTTTTTGCATTGACGCTTTACAATATATAACTATGGTAATAATTCTTTAATTGATCGTATTACTAGAGAAGCTAATTTAATTTCTAATAAAGTAAACTTTTTTTTGATGACCATGTCACGAGATTCACAGCAGCAGTTCGCAACATTATATTTAATACAAACTGATATATTGTTTTATAACAAAGTGTCAACCTAGATTTAAATCAAACAAATTTATTGTTATTATTAGATTTAGGATAAATCTTGTTTAAGAGTATAGATTGATGTATACAGATTACAGGGAACTAAGCAGAAACATTTAAAAAAAAAATTTATAACTTCAAAAATTTACGTGGAAGTTGGAATTTTCAGTAAAAAATGTCCAATATATATTTTTGCTACTCTAAAAATATTGAATCAATTCCATGATTTCCTCATTATGACATTAATGATACCAGAAATTCTTTTTGGATCACATTGAAGTTATAAACGACTGGAATCCTGTTACCACTTTCTTATGAAACACTCATTTATATGTAAATTAGATTCGATATTTATCAGAACGAATTAGGGAAGTGCAAAAATTACAGTGTATTATAATAATAAATAATACACAGAAATTATAATTTTTTTCTAAATAAATTTTTTTTTAATTTATTATAAATAATACTGTAAACTGTTTAGGACGAACGGGGCATTTTTTTTTTTTTGCAAACCAAACAATTCTTAGAGGTAATTTAAAATTTGTATATAGTACATAGATTCGCGACAGATTGTTATTTAAAAATTCATTAAACTATAAAGAAATAAATTTCAGTGACTTTGCGACTACTATATAGTACTATACTTTATACCGATCTTTAAATAGAAGCGTTTGTCGCCGCGAGGTCGAGGATCAGCAATCGTGCGTGAAAGTAACAATCCTGCGACGAAAGGTTAAGCGAAAGGTATATTTTATTGCGACTTTATTCTACAAAACTGCAGCAGCTTTTAAATTAAATTGCACATAAAAGTCTCATTATTAAAAAAAAAATTGTCGACCAACTTCGTTTATCAAAAATTAATAACTAAAATAAAAAAAACTTTTATTTTTACAAATGATTAACAAAAAAACTACCCCCAAACATATAAAACTATTTTAATGAAATATACATAAAAAATAAAAATGTATATCTAAATAAAATTTAATATATCGTACATTAATAATTAAAATAAGTTCAAAGTAAAGTGTAATGAAATACCAGCTACATTTATTAGACCACCAACGATGGTGGTTATATACTTTATACACATTTATATATTATCATCATTAAAAATTTTAATTCTATTATAAATTTCTCATTTGTTAAATTCTTCATTCTTTTCTTTAAATCCAAAGTAAAGGGATAGAAAAAATATTTCTCCAAAACCAAAAATAAATTAAAGTATAA